CTTTTTCAAATCATCATGAATATGATGCCTCAATAATATTAGTGCCTTTGCTTTATTTTCAGTTGATGCACTTTTCTCTTTAATTGTGGCACCAAGACTTTTTGATTCCAAGTGCAAATCAGCATCCAATTGCCACGATAGATAATTTTTCCCCGATATGTCGAGGACCTCGAACTCGATATTAGCCATTCTTGCCATTATGACTAAACAGAAAAAAAACAAGCCATATATTAGCTTTATTCATTATCATAGATAATACAACATAACGAAATGCATGATTACATATAAATTGCTATAATTAGTAACACATACACGAGAGGTAAGACGGCAACGCAAATTGGAAACAAAACTGGGTCGGGATTTTTATCAAAGAAAATACCAAACGTTGCTACTACAATTGCTACAACAAAGAAAATTTTAATAAAATCCATCTTGGGAGATTTTTTATTTCGTGAGAGAAGAAGAGAGAAAGATGATTTTGTGTGAGTTGTTTGAGTGAATAAATGGGTGTATTTATAGGGTGAAAATTACTATTCATAGCCGTTGGGGAGGAGCCAAAATTTTGAATTTTTTTTTTTTTTTAATTTTTTTTTTTTCGACCGTTGGGGAGAAAATAAATTTTAAAATTTTGTAATTGATTTTATCAATTTGTATTATAAAACTATACATAAAATAATTTATCAAAACGAATTGTTAAACTATTTTGTAAAATTAATTGATCATGCTATGCTATGTATAACTAATTATTGAGAAAACAAAAAAAATTTATAATTAATTTACTGATATATGAAAGAATTTATAAAACTTTATTTGTAAATTTTATTACTAACATATTTTGTTTGTTCAAAACATTTTCTGTATAAATGACCATCAATATTATATATGATAATATTTTGCATTATAAATATTTATTAATTTATATAGATTATATAATATAATTGTTTATATGTGGCGGTATTACCGTATGCAGAAATAAAATAATTCAGGCGGCATTGCCGTCCATAAAGATAAAACAATTTAGGTGGCACGACCGTCCATAAATAACACAATATTTCAGATTAATAATTAAGGCGGCTCGTTAATTTATATAGATTATATAATATAATTGTTTATATGTGGCGGTATTACCGTATGCAGAAATAAAATAATTCAGGCGGCATTGCCGTCCATAAAGATAAAACAATTTAGGTGGCACGACCGTCCATAAATAACACAATATTTCAGATTAATAATTAAGGCGGCTCGCCCGTCCAACAGTAACAAATAATTAAGGCGGCTCAGCCGTCCAATAGTAATAAATAATTAAGGCGGCTTAGCCGTCCATTAATTTAAACAATAATTAACTGATATTTATATATAGCTTGGGGTTAATTCCACTCAAGCATCAATTAATATGTGTATATATCATTAGAGCGAATATATAATATTACCTTTGTCGTAGAAGAGCGTTCGTGCTGATAACGTGTTGTGAAAAACGAAGAAATATAGAAGACCCGAGAATCAGATCGTTAACTAGAAACCGAAATCGATCGTTTGAGAGACCCGGGAACAAGATTTCAATAATTTTCTTTTCTTGGAATTGTGTACAAATGAAGGAGGGAAATGAGCTATTTATAGAAAATCCGAAGTTACTGTTCACGTATACGTATTTATGAACAGTAACCGTATGGCGGCTAAACAGTAACCGTATGGCGGCGTGAAGCGGCGTGAACAGTACCCGGCTGCGTGAACAGTGTCCGGCTGCGTGAACAGTACCGTAGCTTCACTATTCATTTATAACAGATACATCGAATTGTAACTGTGACTGCGTGTATATATATGGAAATTGAGAAAATAAATTAAAAAATTAAAAAAATTTGGAAAAAATTCGTGGCTCCAAGATCTGGTGGAGAGGAGTTGGTATGGTGGCGCAAGTGGGTTGGCAACTATCAAGAAGACGACAGAAAATATTCGTATAGACTCCACGTATGTATACTACTGCATAACCAATATAAAAGGAAAAAATGAAATGATATTTCTTAGTAAAATGTATCTTCGAATTTATGGGAATTCAAGTCCCAAGAGATTGAAATTTGGTGGAGGAAAATGCATCTCACCTTTCTTCAACAAAACAAAAACACACACACACACACTATATGAAGTTAAAAAATACATTTAATATATATGTATGAAATCTTTTTTTGTAGAATTTATAAATTGTGGACTACTTGATTATATATACATAATTTGTAGCAAGATCTGTTTCACAAAATGCTTATCTCCATGAGGAATTTTTATTATTATTTATTTTAGGGTATGTGTTTTAAAAATTCGTCATACTACATGGGAACCATCGCCCTCCAAATATTATTTTAATCTATTTTCCTACCCCAATGCATATTAAAAAAAGGTCCATTCTTTTGGATAATAAATTCATGCTTTTTCATTTTTTAAATTGATTCGTGGGACCCTCGAGGTTTGGTGGAAAATGATATTCACCAACCTATTGTCACACACAATTAAGCACTCACTAATTATTAATTAAATAATCAAATGGTAGTTGTATGCAGTTTTTATTAACAAAGGTATACTTTATTGTTAGAGAGCGTAAATTGATTATTTCAATTTCTGTCCTTTTTTAATATGATAATATCTTATTTTAATTTTATAGAATATATATTAATTATGTCTTATTAGATTAAAACGATAAATAATATTTAATGAGTCAAATGGAGTAATGTCGCAAACTAAATTTTAAAATCTCGTCAGAACATCATAGATTAATCATGAATCTATGATTCGGAATTAAATCAATAATATTTCTGTATAACAATAAATATCAAATTCATGCTTGGTTTATAAAAACTTATTGAAAAAAATATCTTATTTTGAAGAAAATGTTATGTATTTATTTAGTTTTTGTCATGATAAATTCTTAGGAAAGTATACTGTATTAACCGACTAATTTTGTGTAAATTTTCTCATATCGATAAATATTTTGCAAGATAAAAGAAAGACAAAAATTTGGTAAGGGTAAAATTGGAAATCTAAACAGTGTCTTATTTTTTAAAAAGATATGTGAGCCTGTGGCTGTTCCGGCTCATGTGGTAGTGAACGCAAGATTCTGTCTGGACCAGATTTTGGTGTATCTTCACCCGTTGGATCAGTGGAATCTTACGTCATAGCTGCAGTATTATCAACGGTCAATTACACCTATATTTTTTAAAATAAGTTTTTTTTTAATCAGATATCAAGTTGTGGACAAAGTGTTTCTTTTTTTTTGGCTGGCGTTAAGAAAATTTATTGAAGATTTCAAATTAAAATTTTATAAAATTGATTATGATAAAGAAACAATAGTATCCGACCGTACGAATTGAATTGCGAGACGCACATGTAGTATATCAGCGGTAAGATAAGGCTGTCGTATTTTTCTTAATTAATTGTTTTTAAAATTATTGCTTTCCTATCTTTTTTAAAAATACACAAACATCTGGAATAATTATAATTAGAAATTTCATTTTCTTAGTCAAAATTTTGTAAATGTAGTTTTCTTAAAAATTTGAGGGTCTAGAAGTTTCCATGTTAAAACGGCTGCATGTATTTGTATGGCAGTCATTAGGATGACTACAATTATTGTTGCACATTTTGGTTCAATATATACAAAATCAATAGATCCAAACTATAAAAGATGTATAATAATATTTGAATGGAATATGTTTTTTAAAACTAAATGAATATAAGTTTTCTAAAATCAAATTAACTCAATTCAAATTGAAAATAAAGATAACCATGACAATTCAAAGTCTCTCTCCAATTAGACCCAAAATAATACAAAAAAAAAATCCATAAAAACTCAAGCCCAAATGGCAAGACTAGACATCAAACCAGCACCAAGGAACAGAAAACAATAGGAGACAAGTTGAACACTGAAATCAAGACTTATCCTCTTGTTCAAGAAATCCGCCGCGATCAGATCCACGAGGGCCATGTAGATCAAGATCCCGGCGGAGATGGAGTCCAAGATTCCCTCCGTCGCCAGAGCCGCCGCACTGTGGGGATCGTAGGAGGAGGACACAGCCGTTCCCACCGCAATCCCTAGAGGCGCGGTAACGGCAAAGAAACACGCCATTAGGGCAGTCGCCCTCAGGGCCAATCTCGCCTCGGCCAAGCAGCCGCCGAGGGCAAACCCTTCAAAAAATTGGTGGAAGGAGAGGGCGGCGATGAGAGGGCGTATGGTGCAAGGACTGTGTGACACTCCTAGTGATATTCCGATGATTATGGAGTGTGACACTATCCCCATCTCTAATATCTGAAAATGAAAAAAAGAATAGCCAAAATAATGTAATCAGACTTTGGTGTTTGGATTATATATTGTAGTTCGATCCTCGTTATGGTTTGTTTTTCTTGGAATCTCTGAATTTCATATTTCATGATCCAATGCTATGCACTATAAGATTTCATGTAAATTAACAAGGTCGCTAATTCTTGAACAAGAGTGTCGTATTAAAACAACATATTACGATTTCTCTTTTTAATTGATTTTCTTTTTTGTTATCGTATATATATATATTGAAAGGTGGGAACCAAATTAATCAATTTAATTAGATGTTAAAATATGTATCCAGACGCAGCTAAAGGGCGAGTCATTTTTCCATGCCCATGTCTAAGTCAATATATATATATATATAAAATATATATTGCATTCATTGTTTGATGAAAAGTCAAAGTCAACGAATCTGAACAAAAGTACCTGTGAAACAACAACGTGCCTCACACCACTGTCCAATCCCGCTTCGTCCCCATGCCCATGTCCATGACCATGACTATGTCCATGATCATGTCCTCCTCCGCCTCCGGAGATTCCATCTCCGACAGTAATCTTCGACAGTAATCCGTCGGAGCCTATGGAGAGACTATGACGGTGATGCGCATGAGCTCTCATCCCAACAATGTGCAAATGCTCCTCCTCCCCCAGAAAACCCGACCCAATAAGACTCGACCCGGTTCCCCGACCCGGATCCGACAGAACTGAAACCCGGCCGAGTGACTCGACCGAGTCGCCCATCATCTTCTCCTGCTTCCTCTCGTAGTAACCAGTGATCAAGAAGTCGGCGAGTAGCGTGAGAAGTGCTGCGACCATGGCGAAGAAGCCCGGAAACGGGAAACGCGACCACGGAAACTCAGGCAAACACGGATCATTCAAGGCGTCGGAACCGCCGGAGAGCATGTGGACGAAGCCGGTGGCGAGGATGACTCCGGCGGCGAAGGCCTTTGCAGCTCGGAGAACGCCGCCGTCAGAGGGGAGGAGCCGACGGGTTAGGGTTCCGATGATGGGTATTGAGACGCCAGCTGCTCCGGCGAAGAATATGGCGGCCATGGCGGCGAGTTTGAGTGTGAACGCGGCGGCGTCATCTCGGCACGTGTCTGACTCACCCGAGTCGCATGTTGTCGTGAAGGACTCTGTTTTCGAGCAGGTTCTTGGGGTCAGTTGCAGAAACAAATACACTAGTAGTAGAATAGAACTGAACTGGTAGGGTTTTTGTTTCTCGGCTAAGTGGATTCATTAAGCATTCCGATCTGATCAAGGAACCGGGAGAGACCATGGAAACTTCGCTTGGATTCCGAGAAAATGCGAGAAAGCGCGAGAAAGTGAGGGTGAAAACAGTAGACATGAAGTGTTTGAGAAATACCTATGAATCCACGAGACAGTGGCCCGAGACGATCGAGAAAAAGGAAGTCCCAGAAACCCTGGAACCCCAAAAAAAGATTAAATATGTTCGAGTGTAATTCAGATTAATTACGCGCAAGAAATCGAAATTAAACAAAAAAGTTAAAGCAGCCGAAGAAAACGCAACGGACCTGGAAGAAAGACATAACTAAGCCCGAGAAACAGAGAGACGATCAAGCTCTTGTTTCAGTTAATGTTGTCTTCCTGTCTAAGAAACCACGAAAATTAGGGTTTTTATAATGTAAATGTATCCTCTTTTTTTTTTTAAGGTAAATGGTTTGTTATTGTGAATGCCGATACGTTTTGAACGAATCAGTCAATACCAATACGTATATTGGTGTGCGTGAGTGTACGGAAAATTTTAAAATTTCAAGCCAATGGCGCATTAATGTCGTCATTTTATATGCTGATTGTATTTGGTTTTATATATTTTGTTCAGCGCATATCTCCAAATCTAAGATATTTTCTAGTAATTTTGCATGGGGTAATCTTTATTTTAATACAACTTGTTATATATATATATATATATATAATTATATGTTGGGCCCGCTCGGCCCAGCGGCCCAAATTGGCGAAGAAAGAAAAAAAACGGCCCGCTATGTTGATGCGCCGCGTTTCAAAGAAAGGTTAATGAAACCCTAATGGGTTTTGGAAGAGGAAGGGCGCGCGTGGCTCGAGGCGAGAGAGGAAGGCGATTGAGAGAGGAAGACGATTGAGAGAGAAAGAGATCGGAGGCGACATGGGAGGCGATCTCGCCGGTGGAGCTTCGGCGGTGCGAGCCAAGGTTACGGGTGAGTGATTCCGGTAAGGTTGTCTTGAATCTCTCGGTTCTCGGGTGTTTCTCTTCTCTGTAAATGTTATGGCGAGACACCGTGTTGTGGTGCTCCGCCGGTTCTTCTTTCCGTCTGATCTAGTGGATTCGCCGGCGCCGTTCCGGCCGAGACGTAGGCCCGAGGAAACTCGGTAACCGAACTCGTAAAAACCCCGCTGTGTCTTGTTTCGGTTCTTGAACACACGAGCGTCGGAGAGAACCGTGAGAATCCGATATCCACTTCACAAAGTGGTATCAGAGCTCCGGTTACGATCCAGGGGGGTAAGTTCGCCGGAAAAGGCGAGGTAAGTTAGGGTTTCGGTTCGGATCTGTCTGTCGGAGCGTTTTGACGGCCTGTTTAAGTGTTTCATGTTGAGGTGTTTCAGTCAAAGACGGAGGCAGATCGGCGGCGGTGGGAGCAGATCTGAGAGTCTCGGAGTCGCCGGTGGCCAGATCCGTCGAGGTGGAGAGTCTGCGATCAAGACTCGGTGAAGACAGATTCGACCCGGTGAGTCAGGTAAGGTTTTCTGACTCAGTTTCATTATTTTTCCGCGTTTTCTTCCGGTTTTGAGACCGAGTTTCAAAGAAACTCGGTGAACTCGGTGGAGGAAGGCTCGATTCCGGCGAAGCTCGGTCCGAACTCGTCCGAGTTAGGGCTGAGTGGAGGGATCGGGGGAGTCAACGTCCGAGTCAACTCGGCAGACTCGGCGGCTAGGGTTTCCGAAATTAGGGTTTCGGATTAAACCCGGTTTACACCGGTTTAATCGATCCAATTTCGGTTTAACCCGGTTTGAGTCAATCGAACCTGGTTCGATTCGATCCAAGTCCGGTTATCGGCGGTCAGATCGGGTTTGACCCGGTTCCGTCGGTTCAGACCGGATTCCGGCCGGTTCAGTCCGGCTCAGACCCGGTTCCGGCCGGTTCAGACCGGTTCACTCCGGTTCGGTCAATCCATTGACCAATTTGGTCAACAGTTGACCGGTTTAGGTCAAATCGGACCGGTTCAGGTCCGGTTTGGGGTCAATTGGACCGGTTTAGACCGGTTCAGGTCAATCTAGGTCCGGTTTAGGACTATTGAGTCCGGTTTAGGTCAATTGAGTCCGGTTTAGGGAAATTCAGACTAGTTTAGGCTGGTTTAAGTCTTGGTTAGGGTCTGATTTGTCTGGGAAGGGCTAGAATTGTTCGGTTCAGACCAATAGGGTCTGATTGGAG